CACGCAACAGACACCACTATTCACACGCGTTACCGACTGACACTGACTGTATGTATACAACTGAATAAAATAATTGTAAAAACATCGTTCCAAATTCTTTCGCCTTTTTGTTTCCGATGCGATGAACCGATAAGGCGGATTATATCCGTTGTTGCCAACACGAGCACATGATATTATTATTGAGACAGGGCGTTACTCAAACTTCCAAAGGGCTATAACTTTGTTACTTCAATTTTACCAGAAAAATGGTAAAGGAAAAAACATTTCTTTTGATCAGATCTACTCACTGTTAAAATAAATGACTCAACTTCGAAGTCACCTTGTATATATATATATATATATATTGTATATACATACAGGGTGTCTCGAAAAAAGTATGCAATATTTTAACCAGCGATTTCTAGAGCTTAAAATAGGAAGAAAGTTTATATAAACATAGGTCGACAAGCGTCCCTTAAGGGCACTACGGCACTAGGGGAGCCCTGAAGATGGTTTTTCCTTAATATTCCGAATCGTGTTGAGATATAGACATAAAATTTGGTATCCTAGCCTAGTTTTTTATGCTGGATTTAAAAATATTAACAATTTTAGACAATTTTGTTTGGAAGCGTATGTAACAGGGACGGACTATTTTAGCCCCAACATTTTTGTGTGATTCTATTTTTAAAATTCAATTTTAGAATTTCAAAATTTAGGGTTTTCTACATAAAAAATGTACTCTTATTGAATATCGATAAATTGTGCCATTTGCGATAAAATCAAACTAAAAAATTTGTCACATGAATAGGAAATGTACTGCGAATGTTGATTATACATAGTTAGCCATGACTGCAAACAAAAGTTGTTTTGATTGTTGTTGTTATGACTTATTTTGACGTTAAGCTGACATTATTAGCAGCGTAAAATTACTATATATATATATATATATAATTACTAAATATGTTTTTTCAACATGATGGCGCCCCTGCACATTTTGGACGCAATGTTCGAAATTGGTTGAATGTCAAGTTTCCAGACAGGTGGTTAGGCCGAGGAGGTCCTATAGCGTGGCCGCCAAGTTCACCTGTCTTAAATCCATTGGATTTCTATTTTGGGGGTCATTAAAAGACCTAGTTTACTCGACTGAAGTAAATACTCAAGAAGATTTACTTCAAAGAATCCATCAGGCTGCAAATGAAATGAGAAGAAAAAGGTTTTCCACTTTTCTGCTACGCAATCATTAGTTCGTCGATCGAGACTCTGTATCCAACAAAATGGGAATTTATTTGAACACTTATTGTAAAGCTAGTTTTAAGTATATCCAACTTACTGTATGTCTTCTTTTTTTAAACAAATTTCAATTTCGTTCGTAGAAAAAATTTTTGTTTTTGCCTAAATGTTAGCTATGTTGCAATAGAAATATGTATTTATGTAACATTTACCAATTATTAAATTAGGTTTTTTCGTTGCCATGGCTGATTATTCAACAATCATTTAAATTCGCAATACATTTCCTATCATGTGACAATTTTTTAGTTTGATTTTATTCAAAAATGGAACAATTTATCGATATTCAATAAAAGTACCTTTTTTATGTAGAAAACTCTAAATTTTCAAATTATAAAATTGAATTTCAAAATTAGAATCACACCAAAATTTTGGGGATAAGATAACCCGAGTCCGTCCCTGTTACATACGCTTCCAAACCAAACTGTCTAAATTTGTTAATATTTTTTAAATCCAGCATAAAAAACCAGGCTAGAATACCAAATGTTATGTCTTTATCTCAACACGTTTCGGAAATCGAATTGCCATACGTATCTCTAAGACTTTGGAAGCTATTCATTATTTATTTATTAGCATGACAAAGTTTTTTTTTCTGGAATCATTAGACATAGTCCCTACATAACTCCTCGATACAAATAACAGATACAGGCACAGGAGAATCATGTTGTATAGGTTTTTAATTCAAGATACCCTGGACAAAGTGAAGTACCCACAATTTTCTCTCAAGAGGTGTAAGCAAAATATTGAGCCATGCAAAACGTAATATGACTGGTTCAGGTCGTTAGGATAATATTATTGAAATATGATTTTTCAGGACTTAAATACAAAACATGTTCTGTAAAACTGCATTTTTAAACAGCAACGACTTGACATTTTTACAACTGTAATGAATTTAATATTGTGTGTTAGCAAGATACACGACCTTCACGAATCAACAGTTTTTGAGTGATAATGTTCACGTGATAAATAATATCTAATAAGGTGTGGGTACTTTCAACACATATATATCTCAATTAATTACTTACTTGCAACTAATATTTTTCTCAAAACCTGAAAAGAAAAACCGAACTACTGAGGTGTTCAATGATACATTTGTCATGACTGTGAACAATTATCTAAATGGGCACTCATACATTTATCATAAATAACAAATTAACATGGAAAATGGCCACATGATTTATTTATTTGTGTTTTGCAGTGTACTTTCAAAATCCTGATCTCATTTCCCGATAATAGTCGACGGCAATTAATTATGGCAGGAATCGCGCTTAACCACGCGTATTGCATGATTTACTGTTAGATCTTTATAGTTAGAGATATTAGAAATTTACATAGTTGTATCATTTTCGTTGTTTTGGTATTCTAACAAGGGATCTATCCGTTAGTCGGAGAGTTTTCTGGAAAATAGCGTTGAAATATAATATGGTAATCATGATCTAGTCTAGTATGACTAGGGTGGGTCGACCATGGTAGGCCATGCTTCTTGTAAAATCGTAGTTTTGGTATGTGATGACAATTCCTTCTGCTTACACTGTCACTCAAGAACGCAGACGCGCATGTGAGTCGCTTGCTTAGTTGTTTGGTCAATGCTGTCCGTTTTGTTAACATCGGCCGTTGACGTTAAAATTATAATACGAGTTCACAGCAAAACGTAGGTTTTCAAGTAAATAAACTAGTACATTATTGATTCTTTTACTTTGAAGTATTTGCTATGGTACTAAAAAAAATATCACTTTTCTATCATTTTAGTTAAAATATCGGTGGTACTCCAAGGAAAAGCAATTATTCCTTGTAAAGCCGACGAAAAAAGGTTGACTGTTTGGGTTTGCTA